GGCCCCGTGAAACGGGCGTCTCACCCTGCGGGGCAGCTCGGTCGTTTGTGTCCCCAGGTGCACCCAGTAATCTCCATCTTCACACACAGGCGCTTCTCTGCTTCCTGGGGCGGGGGAGGGGACGAGGATCCAGCTCGGGATGGAACCAGGGCCCCAACCCAGGACCACGTGAAGGGGCGGTGCCCCTCCCAGCTGTGCTGGGAGAAGGGCTTCCCAAAGCTGCAGTGGCCACACTGGGTGTCCATGTTCCACGAAGTGACTTGGACAGCCAAAGCCGCGGCCATCAGGAGGCACCAGGGCGAAGCAGGTTGTGGGGCGGGTGGGAGGCGGGGTGGCAAGGCGTGCACCCTGGATCACCGGCCGGATGGGCCTTTCTGCTGAGCTGAGCAGCTCAGGCCACCCTGGGGACTGGTGCCCGGTCACTGCCTGAGCCCCTGTGCCGCCCCGTGGTGGCCTCCACACCCGCCCCAGCCCCTGGCAGCCGCTGACCTGCTCCCCGCCCGTTTTGTCCACAGGAGCGGGCTGTCCACATGGGACCCAGCACAGCTGGGACATCCCAGCGGGGTCTTGCGACTGAGCTCCTGGCTGTGACCATAGCTTGCTCCTGTGCCTTGCTGAGGAGTGTAGGGGTGCACGGTGAGCGGGCGCTGGGGCCTGGGGAGAGGGCTCCTCTCCCGCTTTTCCCGCGTGAACACCGGTGCTCTGGTTCCTGGCATGTGCCACCTGCACGGGGTTCCCCGAGCTGCCTTCCACGCGGCTCTGCCCTCGTCCCAGCCGTGGAGGGCGCCCCGCCCCCACACTCCCTGTCCACTCCAGCCGTGGCGTGGGTGGGACCTGGGTCAGCCTTTCCAGCACCGCGTGGCTTCGCCCTTCTCTAAGCTGTAAGGGGACAGCACGTCTCTTTCTCTTTCAGTACTGGGCTAGAACTCAGGACCTTGGTCCCAAGTGACAGCCCCAGCTCTTTTGTGTTGTTTTGTCTTTGGAAGACAGAGACTAAGTTGCCAGGTAGAACTCAAACGTACCACCTTCCTGCCTTAGCCTCCCTTAGCTGAGATTACAGGCTTCCCTCCCTCCCTTTCTCTCCTCTTTGTCACCACTGGGAGTTGAACCCAAGGCTTTTTCCCTGAGCTACATGCCCGGCCCCTTTTTTTATTGTTTTCGTTTCCAGACAAAGTCTGGCTAAGTTACTAAGTTGCCGCGGCTGGGTTCAAACTTATGATCATTCTGCGTCAGCTTCCCCGAGCTGGGCAGACCGGTGTGAGCCACTGTGCCCACCTCTCAGTTATTTCTTAGGGGATTTGCTTTGGGGGGGGTCTCATCTAAGCTTGTCACTTTTCTCCCAAGAGTAAGTGCTTTACATGGAGATCAGGGACCCCGCTCCCCCGACCAGCTGCCCCTACAGCCTGCATTGAAGGGCCGTGCCCTCCTGTGGGTCTCCGTGTCCCTCGGCCACACTGTTGAGGCACATCCGCGCATGGTCCTGATCATGACAGCTTCGTGGGAGCCTTAAAGTCCGAGGCACCAGCCAGCGTTTTCCTGTTAACCTGGCTCGTGCTGTGTGCTTCCCCGTAGTGGAGGGCCGGGCGCTCCTCTTCCACTCTGCATGTGAAGGGGCGGCCGGCTCTGCTGTGGAGCGGGTGTCCCCCTCCTCCTGCCCCGGGAGACCCGACCCACAGCAGCTACTCCTAGCGGTGTGGGACCACGTGTGGGGGCTCCCATGGGTGGGGCCCAAGGACGCTGTCCTGCTCCAGGACAGCCTCGGGCTCAGATCTGGGGCCTCCCGCCAGCTGTGCTGGGAGAGGGACCCAAGGAGAGGGACCTCAGCTCTTCAGTGCCCCAGCTGGGCTGGGCCTGGGTCCCACCTGTCCTCTCCACGCCTGCACCTGCATCCTTCCAGTCAAGACCCCAGAGCCTGCTTGCTGTGTGCTAAGCGCCCCTTCTGCCACTGAACCGCACCCCCATTTCTTTTTCTTTCTAAACGTGTTTTTAATAAACAGCACAGAATGACTTCGAACCTTTTCCACCACGCAGTCGGGGTGTCACCCTGTTGTGTTGCTGTCTCCACCCTCACCTGCGACCTCTCCCTGATGTTGCCGCCTGCCCAGCCCTGTCCGCTTCATCTCTAGTTGGATGGCCTGAGGACACCCGAGGCAGTCTGCAGGGTTCACCTTATTTTACCCAGCTTGGTGACTTGGGTTCGATTCCTTCTCATGTGTGGATCTCTGCAGTGTCGGCCACCCAGGCTGGGAGCCACGGGCCCTGGGCTCAGGGGCTCCCTGGTGGGTCCCCAGGTCCGGAGCCCTGGAGGGTCCATCTCGTGTCCCGCGACTCTAGTTCTCGTTGTTTTTGCCTTGACCCCTGTGAGCCCGATATCAGTGCCCCATGTGCCTGATGAGCCGTGGCTGGGACCTGCCACGATGCTCAGGACCGGCTCTCCCCTGTGCATGGGGCTCGCACCTCCGTCCCGCTTCGAGCCTCCCTCCCCGGCCGCCACCCTGGAGGCTGAGTCTCATGGATGGGGCTTCTGACCGCAGCGGTCCTGCTGCGACGGGAGGCTGTGGGGGCACCAGGGACCTCAATGTGATTGTGGGGTTGCTTGCCACCCCCGAGGGGCCTCCCACCACCCTGTGGGCAAGGGCCAGCCTGACTCATGCCCATCACCGGGTGTCCTGTCCACGCCAGCTGTCGCCTGGCCCTGGCAGCCCTGTGGCGGGTGCAGCACCTGGTGGCAGTTTGGGGGGGCTGGTTGGGCGTGTGCAGAGTTTGGAGCACCTCTGCAGATGAGTGGCTGCGTCCCTACCCAGGGTATTTTTAGCCGCAGCACCCAGCGCTCCGCAAGGCAGAAATAGACGCGGCTTTTTCGGGTTCTGGAGCTGACTGCTCTCGGGGAGCCGGGCTAGCTGGGGTGGGGGTGCCTGCGGAGCGCAAACAACTTCTGCTGTTGGGAAAAACATCTCGCGCCGAGGTGGTTGTGGATAGGGAATTATTTCTGTTGGTGAACACTCTTTATGTAAATGCCACAGCACGCTCGCATGTGTAATCACAGCAGGCCGGGGGGCGGGGGGCGTAATTATGTTTAAAATATCATCTCGATCAGATTGTTTTCCGTGTTCCCTGAGCCCAGCGATTCCAGGCTCAGAAGGTCCCCTGGGGCTCTGCCCCAAGGGAAACGCCCCCCTACCCCGTCCACCATCCGCTCACCTCCAGCCTCTGGGCCCACTGGGGTGTCTGTTGATTTGGGAGTGGAACTCCTGCCCAAATCCAGCGGCACTCATTTGAAGGTCACAGCTGCAGCGTTGCTTGTCTGCTTCTGCGAATGCCACCCGTGGAGCAGCCCGAGGCCTTGCAGGGTGGAGGGCCCCCGGGGCTGGGGACAGTGTTGGAGACTCCGGTCTTGGGGTGGTGACTCACTGTGGCTGGGGTTGTGTGAGGTGCCTCGCTGTCTAGATGCTGGCCTTCGAGAACTGGGCAGCTGCGACTCCTCGGCTCACTCTGGTCCCCTCTCCCCTGGGGACCCTCACCGGCCACAGCAGGCCCCACGGAGTTGTCCAGTCCTCACTAAGGTGGGGTCCTGCTGCAGAGGAGGGCCAGGTGTGCCCTGAGCCCGCTGGACCCAGAGCTGCAGGAACCATGGGTGCTGGGGGTCCAAGTATCACATCCTGTAAGCTGGCCCCTCTCCCAGGGCTTCTGACCCCACCTTCCTTGAGCAGGACCTGTGCCTGGGTGGGGACATAGGGACCCCAGGTGGCACCACGCCCTGTGGTGTGTGTGCGCCCCCAGCCTCAGCGTCAAAAGAGTGTCCCCCTGGTAGCAGAGCTGGCGTGGGAGGAGGGTGTGGGGCTGCTGCCCCTGTGTGTTTGGGGGGCCCTGCAGGGATGGGAGGGGGCAGTCCAGGCAGGACTACGTGTTCCCCTTGGCCCTGTAGCACTGAGGGTGCCTCGCACACGGTCCAGGAGGGGAGTAGAGGAGGGGTACGAGTGCTAGAGCAGACCCCTCGGACCCCACGTTGGCTACAGTGGCCTGGGGACCAGGCTGGGACAGGCTAGTCAGGTCTCAGGGCGGAGCCCAGCCAGGAGCCATGTGGAGCCAACGCCCCCTGGAGGGGACGCAGGGACATCCCGGGCCCTCCACCAGGTAGTACAGAGCGCAGCTTGCAGAGCTGGGGGGGTGGGGGGACTCCCCGATCCAGTCCAGCCCGGTCCAGTCCAGTCTGGTGTGTCAGAAGCAGCCGGAGGCTGGGGCTGCCTGTGACGCCCTGCCTGCTGGGCTCTGCTGTTGGCAGATATCTGCAGAGTGGCTCCTGTACCAGGCCAGCCTGGTCCCAGGGCTGAGCCCCTCAGCTGGCCACGGTCCCAGCCCTCACCTGGGAGCCACGCTGGTCCTGCCCCTGGCTGTCTTGTGAGTTGAGGAACAGGGCTTGGGTGGCAGCACCGGGCCCTGCCGGCCCTGCCTCTGGCCTTGGGCAGTTCCCCAGCAGGAGAGCCACTGCTCCGCCTAGCCCCAGGCCCCGGCCCTGTCTCCATCCACCATACCACCCACTTGGCTGTCCCACATCCTGTTCCTGGCTCCTGACACCCTCGGCAACGTGCTCCTGGGCCTGAGTGGGTGCCCCCACTGCCACCCCCTTGGAACAGGGCAAGGCCGGAGGGGAACATGGACTGGGTGGTGTATGGAGGCTGCCATTCCCCAGTCGCCCAGGCTGGCACAGAGCGGGTCCATGCTGGACCTCAGGAGCATGGCAGAGCAGGGTACAGTGACGCATGCCTGCAGTCTCTGTGGTCTTTGCACTCTAGGAAGCTGAGGCAGGAAAGTCACAAGTTTGAGCTAAATCACTGCCTTAGTAAGACCCTATCTCAAAAGATTTTCAGAAGGGGACGGAGGTGTAGCTCAGTGTGAAGGCCCTGGCTTCAATCTCCAGTACTGCAAAAAAAAGTAAAATAAAATAAAATATTATGGTGAAGACAGAGCTGCCCATCTAATAGGTTGGTTTTGTGCTGCAGTGCAAGAGAAGCCTGAGCCAGTGCCACTGGAGAGCCGCTCCTGCGTCCTCATCCGCCGAGACCTTGTGGCACTGCCCGCCAGCCTCATCAGCCAGATCGGCTACCGCTGTCACCCCAAGCTCTACTCCGAGGGAGACCCTGGGGAGAAGCTGGAGCTGGTGGCAGGTGGGTCCCCTCCCTGGGGCTGTATGCAAATATCTGCTCGGCTGTTTGTTCAGAGCAGTGAACAATGCACTCAACCCCCATCAGTCAAAGAAAAGAACATCTTATTTTCCCCTAATTTCCTCTTAGAAGAATGTGTCGTTGAGGGAAGTTACTCGATTGAATTAATTTAGCATTTTAATTGAATCCCCTGGGCTGGCCCTGGTCCTGACTGGCAGGGGCTGTGTTCACGTGGCGTTGATGTAAGTCACAGGTAGTGACGCCGCGTGGTGTGTCCCTGCCCCGAGTGGGTGTCGGCCAGTGTGTGGCAGGGTGGTGACTTCAGGCTCCAGGCAGCAGCTCCCAGCCCGGTATCCTTCTGTAAGGAGAGTGGCACCATGTAGCCCAGAGGCCCACTTGGGCTGGTGCCTGCGGGGGAAATACTTGTCTTTTTGGGACTGGGCTTCAAGCGGTCTTGCAGCTCTTTATAGATTTTTAGTCCCTTATGGCGCTGTCATCCCGTGGAGCTGTTTCTTCCCATCTTCGTCAAGAAAGGCCCACACGTCAGCTGGGCGAGGTCCCCAGGGCAAAGCCTCAAACACCGGGGGTCCTGCCCTTGGACACCCTGGCCGCATACCCTGGGGGGGCTGGCTCCCACACACCCATGATCCCCTCTGCTGTGGACCACAGACAGAGGCCCTGAGCCCCATCCCTGCTGGCTGCTCTGGGGAGGATCTTTTCCGGGGAGGGCTGGCTTGGATGAACGGGGTGCCGAGTGAGTCCTGGGTGTCTTCTGGCCCCTCCCGGGTAGGTGTGATGCTTGGAATAGGCAGTTCGCCCCCTCCCTCCAGCAGCAGCCTGTGTTCGGGGTGTGGGCTGGAGAGGTGTCCAGAGTGGGGGAACGGGGCCTGATGCAGGGTCTCTGGAGGGGCCAGGGACATCTGGGCCCTGACAGGGAGGGGATTTGGGGCTCCTGGAGGCTTGAGTGTGGGGACAGATGCTTTAGGGAGCAGCACCTTCGTGATCCTGCACAGTGCTGTCCACGGTGCAGAGTCCCCGGGAGCCAGGCCCCGTAAGCCCCAGTGACAGAGTTGACCAGAGTTGGACTTGAGGCCTAGCAGACCAGACCTCCCCAGGGGACGCAGACCACTTGGAGGAAGGACACGGCTTGGCTCCTGCCCTGGTGAACAGTCAGTCCTCGCTCTCTCACAGATCCTAGAAAGACCCAGACAGGACGGAGAGGCTTCTGGCGGCGCCAGGGCCTGGGTGACTCTCGAGGGTCCTGCCTTGGTCTTTCCCAGGGCCATGTCCATGCACACAGATGCTGTCCACTGCTCCTGAAGGGCCAGTCCTGTCGCTCTGCCTTTTGTCTACCCACACTCGGGTGTTGTGCCTGGGGCAGGCCTCTGCCTGACTGTGTCCGGGACAGAGTCTTCTGTGGACACAGCTAGGGAAAGTCAGTGTCGGGACGGACCCCGGGCCCTGCCATCCATGCACCCCTCACTAGTGAGGCTCTGCGGAACCTGTGAAGACAGCTAGGAGCTTGGGACACCTGGGGGGCTGTGGCAGCAGGGCAGGGACTGTCAGGCGGGAGCAAGACAGTGGGACCCCGCATGCCGGGTGTGGCCCCGGGAGGCCCTGAGCTGGGGTTTTGGGCTCAGGGCCTCATGTTGCATGTTTGCTGGTGCAGGCTCCGGGGTCTACATCACGCGTGGCCAGCTCATGAACTGCCACCTCTGCGCGGGGGTGAAGCACAAGGTCTTGCTGCGGAGGCTCCTGGCCACTTTCTTTGACAGGTAGGTGGGGCGGAGCTCCGGAGACCCCCTCGCCAGGAGCTTTGGGGCCCACGCGCTCCCAACACCTCCCCGTGGCCTGTCAGTGTGAGGACGGCAGGGCGGCTTCGGGGAGGAGACGCAGCCCCGGCCCTGGGCCCAGCCTGGGGAGGGCTGGCTCGCCTGCTGTTTCCCAAAGGCCTGCCCCCAATAAAGCAAAAGTCATGTGTTCCCCATCACGAGGCTGGGTCAACACAGCCTCTACCTCCTGGCCAAGCGACTCGCTCAGGTAGCATGGGGTCCCTCAGATGGAGCCTCTACCTCCTGGCCAAGCGACTCGCTCAGGTAGCATGGGGTCCCTCAGATGGAGCCTCTACCTCCTGGCTAAGCGACTCGCTCAGGTAGCATGGGGTCCCTCAGATGGAGCTCAGGATGCCTGGGTCAGTGTCTCAGCCCAGTTGCTGGGGAGCCAGAGCCCCATCCTGTCCCTTTGGGGGTAACTGCCTGCTCCCCACCATGGGTGTGACCCCAGGGAGGCCACCAGGAGTTGGGCCTCTGGGTCACGCAGTCCAGCAGCCTCACTGTGTGCCCTCTGCCCTCTGCCCTCGGCAGGAACACGCTGGCCAACAGCTGTGGCACCGGCATTCGCTCGTCCACCAGTGACCCGAGCCGCAAGCCGCTGGACAGCCGAGTCCTGAACGCTGTGAAACGTGAGTGGCTGGGGTCCTGGGTGTGGGGGTCTCAGAAGGCCCTGGGGGTTCTGGTCCGGGCTGGAGGAAAGCGAGGCGGCCCCAGCAGAAGAGAGGAAAAGAGCAACGCCCAGCCGGTCTCGGGGTGCTAACGTCCTTGGTAGGATTCCAAGTGTGATGAATTCAGCTGTGAAACTATTTTAATACGTGAAATAGATCTAATTTTCCTTTTTGAACAAAACCCCTTATTTACATGTTGAGGTTATTTTGAGCCTTTGCCATCTGCTCGGCCGGCTCCTGCCTCCCGCTCCGGGGTGGGTGGTGGGGCCTGGTCCAGCTCCGTGGCCCCGTGGAGCACAAAGCTGCCGCTGCCCACCCTCCTGGGTGGCCTTGCCGAGCGCACGAGAGACACTCTCCTGTTTTTTTGCCTTAAAAAAATCCCTGGTGAGGCGGATCCTGTTTGTAGCAGAGGGGGCCTGGCAGTCTGTAATTACAGGCGCATAGCACAGGGTGACAGCAGGCCGGGGAGACGTGGGGGGTGGGGGTTGCTCCTGGCTCCAGCCTTGGTCACTGGGGAGAAAGGAGGGTTTTTTTAAATGGGTGGCATTGCCTACCATCTGTTGCTCCCGAGACCCAGGACAAGTTGACTCCTTTCGGTTGTCACCTCAAGGGGACCTCGGATTAGCTCATGGGTGGGGGTGGGGAGGCCCAGAGAACACCCCAAAGCTCAGCTCAGGGGAGGGCTCCAGGGCTGAGCAGTGACAAAGGCACCATGGTCTGGCAGTGGAGGCCAGGAGAGCCCTGTGGCCTTGTAGTCTCTGGGGGCAGCGGGATGGAGACAGGACAGGCCTTATGGGTCACCCCATCCTGTGCCCGGGAGGCTCACCGAGCACCTTGGCCCCTGTCCCCTGCCCCACGTCCTGCAGTGTACTGTCAGAACTTCGCCCCCAGCTTCAAGGAGAGCGAGATGAATGTGATCGCCGCGGACATGTGCACCAACGCCCGGCGCGTCCGCAAGCGCTGGCTGCCCAAGATCAAGTCCATGCTGCCCGAGGGCGTGGAGATGTACCGCACGGTCATGGGCGCCTCGGCCGCCAGCCTGCCCCTCGACCCCGAGTTCCCGCCCAGCGCCGCGCAGGTGTTCGAGCAGCGCATCTACGCGGAGCGGCGGAGCGACGCGGCCACCATTGTGGCTCTGAGAACTGACGCGGTGAATGTGGATCTGAGTGCTGCTGCCAACCCCGCCTTTGATGCCGGTGAGGAGGCGGATGGGGCCGGCTCGGTCATCCAGGAGGTGGCCGCCCCCGAGCCGCTGCCCACTGATGGCCAGAGCCCCCCACAGCCCTTTGAGCAAGGCAGCGCCAGTTCCAGCAGGCCCCAGACACCCGCCAGCACCCCGGCCACCAGGAGGCCCGAGGGCACTTACGCAGGGACTTTGTAAGAGGGGCCGGCGGCCCACCTCGAGAGGGACGAGTACTAAGCTGCTTGCATGCGTTACTAATACAAACAAATGTGATCAAGCCACTTACCTACTGAACTGCTACTGCTGCCTGACAAAAATGTGATTTTTATTCTGCCTGTATTTAAAATGGATGAAGGAAAATGCACTCACTATACTGTAAACAGCTAGGCCACTGGCCACTGCGCTGGGAGCACGGCCCCAGGGCTCCTTTTGTGATACCGCAAGGACGGTCTGCTCCTGTAGCTCCCCCTCCCCTTCCTGGGGTGGAGGCCTCCAGCCCTGGTGCCCCGCCAGTTCTGCATCGCCCGTGCTCCCTGCTCCTCCTGCCCGGAAGAGGAAGGGGCAGCGACCGGGGCTGGGTCACACTCTGTTTCTGCCACGGGCAGCGCAAGGGCTCCACAGCCAAACCCTTCTCGCTTTCCTTCTTCCTGAGATGCCATCTGCGTGGGTGAGTGTGTGCGGGTGAGTGTGCACGTGCGGGCGAGAGTGTGTGTGTGTGGGGGGTGTGCGCATGCATTGACCAGTGATGGTACCTCGACAGCCGTTGCTAGTCCCCGGGGTGGAGGAAGGACATCGTGTCCCCCCACACCTGTGTCCTTGCTCTGCCCCAACCTTCTCTGTGCTGCAGCCCCTCAGCAGCCCCTGGAGGCCCGGATGCCCGCGCCTGCCCATGGGCTCCCACCCCGGGCCCCCACGGGTGTTGCGCAGCTGCAGTCACCCTCGGACGCCCCAGCCACTCTGGGATTTTGCTTGTTTGGTGTTTTTGTTTAGTTCAGATCTATTTCATATATGGTTTGGAAACTTTTAGACCCAACAGAGCAAAAAACTGGGGAGGGGCAGGTGTCCCTGTCCCCAGCCTACCACAGATCAGGGGCCAATGCAGACCTGTGTCCCCTCCTCGGGGCAGGACCCGTTCACCTCCCACTGGAGGCAGAGGGGTTCCAGGGCTTGCAGCGAGGACACATGCAGGCTGAGCTCAAGGGCTGGGGAGCCTGTGAGGTGACACTGGACCCATCGTGCCACCTGTGTGGTACTCGGGGCTACAGGGGCCAGGCAGCAGGCACAGGCCTGGGTTGGGGCACTGAGGGGGCAGGAAGGTGGTCGAGTAGGGGCTACCAGCCAGTTTGAAGCCAGAGTGCCTCCTGCAAATTGGAAGCTTAGTTTCCCAGCAGTAAGGTGCAGGTGATAGGGTGAGCTCCTGGCCAGCTTCCCGGGTGTCCCTTCTCAAGACCTGCCTGTAGAGCCCAGTAGCTCCTAGTGTGGCCAGGGACCCCCCACCCAAGACTGGATGGGTCTGCTGTTTCCTCTTCCTCCGTCCACTCTGAGCTCACTCCTGGCACCCCTCTGTGTGCACACAGGCTGGCAGGCTCCCCCCAGCGAGGGGCTGGGTGCTGAGTCTGCAGCAGGGGCCAGTGTGTGGCTTAGACCCCCCAGCTCCCCATTTCTGTGGGTGCTGCCCCCGCAGTGCAGAGGCCTTGGGGAGACTGTGCCTGCTCTCCAGAAAGCTCTGGTGGCTTTGCAGGGAGTGGGGGCTGTGAGGGGGGACCAGAAAGAGGCCTCACCCCACTCCCTGCCCCTTGGGGCCAAGCCTGGAGAGACCCAGGAGACCCTTGCATTCCTGGGGCAGCGGGTGGTGCAGAAGCCCATGTTTGCCACCCAGGCCTGGAACCCCAGCCCAGAGCTGCCCCCCATCTGGAGCGCAGCTGGGTTGGAGTCCCCAGGGCCTCCGCAGACTTGAACCACACCTTGCTGGTGCTGGAGGGGCCTGGGGTGTTGAGGAAGGTGGCGGTTGAGGGCAAGCTGCATCCTGGCCCCCTAGAGTTTTCCTTCATCTGCCCCCAGACCCCCCCCCCAAATGTGCACTTTAATTTGACCATCCCTGGGGACCTTTGGGAGACAGGCCTGCCTGTCGCTGCTGTTGACAGGAGGGCTCTGTCCCCACCTCCACTCCATAGCGGGCGCGGCCCCCACCCTAGGCCGGCACGGGGAGGGTGCTACCGGCTGCTGGAGGAGGTGGTGGCCGCACAGAACGCCTGACCGCTGCTCGGGCTAGCACAATGTCCCGCAACCCCTGTCCCTTAATCGTTTATAATCGCCGTCTGTTTTGTTGTTCTGGGTAAGGAAGGCAAGAGCTATAGGTAAAAAATAATAATACTTCAATGTGAATGGGTTCTGAGCTCTCCCTGCGCCCCGGGCGGGCTGGGCCGAGCGTTTTGCACTAATGTGTCCCGCGGTGGACGCGGTGGGGAGCGTTCGCAGACGTGCGTGGCCGATGATTGTACCTGCCGGGCGCTCCCTCCGCACCCTGAATGTACCGTGGGGCAGGCAGTGGGCCTGGGCTCGGAGGGGCCTTCCAGAGTGCCTTAGCATCTTTTGATCATTTTTCCCAAGGGAAACCAATTAAGAACCCCGGACCCTCCCCCTCCTTTGTTTACAAGATGACTAATTCCAGAATCGGGGCGTCTTGTCCCGCCATTGTGACCCAACTCACCCAGACCCCGTAGGCGAGAGGCAAGCCACTCAGTATTTATGAGATGTCTGCACCCCTATTCCTAAGCTTGACTACTAGCAATACGCATATACTATATAGAGTCTATTATAGAGCTAAGTTATATCGGCGCCTTTCCGGGAGGACAGTTGGACTGACCGAGTTGGAGCTACTGAAGCGGGTGCCGGCCTGGGGTCCAGCCACTGATCCCGCCCTCCCTTCTCCTCCCCTCCCTCCCAGAGGGGACGGCCCAGGAGGCAGCTGGGACAAGTGCAAAAGGTCCAGAGGAAGGGACCAGAGACGGGACAGATACTGTGAGCTCCGTGGGGCCGCTGCCTGGCCAGCGCGCCTCGGTACTTGAATTCTGTTCTTGTTTCCTGCTCCGGGTCCACGCACCCGTGTTCTCGTGGTTGCTTCAGTTTGCATCTGATTTGGTGTCTTACTTTGCCCCTGAATGTGGACACAGTTGAGAGGCGGCAGGAGGGCCCTGCTCAGGTGTCCCGAGTTGGGTGGTGCTGGGCGGGCCGCTGGGGAGACGGGCTGTTTGGTCTGACCCTTTCTCCCTGCCCGCTCACCGTGGTGTTTGTGTTTAGAGCTGGGCAGACCAGGTAGAGAGGCCTGAGAGCGGCTGTCGGGGCAGGTGTCCCTGCAAGGGGACTGTGGTGTGGCTTGTGTTGCCCATTCAGCAGCTGGCACTGCTAGGCCCCGCCCCACCAAGTCCTGCCGTCCCCTCCCCCGGGTTCTCCTGCACGCCTCTGCGGAGCAGGCGGGGGCTGCTGGATCGCTGCTGTGCTGGGCCAGAGCTGGAGCACGCAGCTGTCTCAGCTTTAACTACTGTTCAGGACACACTGCAGCCGTGGCGCCGGCTGTCACAGGGCCAGCCGGCTCTGCCATGTCCCTACGCGAGCGCGCGGGCTTGGTACAGATGGTTTTCAAATGGCAAAGGTGTTTTGCTTTTGTTTGTTTGTTTGTTTTATTTTGTTGAAAAAAGAAAAGAAATGGGAAATGATTCCGGATCTAAAGCCTTCAGGTTGGACAGCTCGCCTGTGTTCTGATCGGTTGCCTCCATTGTTAGCGTTTTGCACACAATTGTGATTTTTATGTCAGAAGAAGCCAAAACTTGCAATACTATTTTTAGCAGACAAAAAAAAAAATCCAGAACTAAGTATAAAATGTATAAATATTTTTGACTTGAACATTTGGATGGCACTGGGTGCAAACAGAACATTCATCCTTCCGACAGAATGTTTGGGTAAGAGACTAGAGAGGAGATGGTTGTTTCACAGGATCTGTCTAGGGTTAGAACACTACTGTAAGTCACGACTGTTAAAAAACAAGTTAATCAAGGAAATCGTTCCTGTGCTGTCAAGGAGGGCTTCACAGAACCACTGGCTTAGATTCAGCCACCGAAGATGCTGGCTTTTCGTTTTCCTTTGAGGAGGAAGCCTTTGTTCTGTCCTTCCTGCGTCCTTCCTCCTCCCTTTCTGTGCTGTTATCCGTAGTGACCAGACTGTTAACTTTGTAGCCATGGCTGACAACATTGTATCAATAACTAAACAACCGCCAGGTGCGCGCGCAATCAGGGGAAGGTAGAAGGCCATGTCTGCTGAGCAAAAGATGTCACCGTTAATTGTAAAGCGCTTTGTAAAATTCACATTTACAGAATAATAAAGTCAGTTCAAACCCATGGTTCCTGGGCGTTGCTTGGCCAGTGAGGCCAGTCGGGGGGCGAGTGCAGAAGTCAAAGAGGGGCTGGATGTCAGGGCCTGTGGCCACCCATGGCAGAGTGTCCCTGTCTCGGAATCCAGGCCGCTGCAGCCCTCCAGGAACAAAGAAGGGCCCTCCCCAAGCTGGCTCAGAGAGAAGTCTGACCGGGGCTCCAGAGCTGCCTGACCCCTCTCCCCAGTGCCCACAAGGGAAGGGGGCAGGTGAGTGGGATGCCCAGGGGGTGCCCATGGGACCCTGACCTGAGCCCACAGTGACACCAGGGGGTTGTGGTTTCATTGTCTGCAAAGTGAGGCAGTGCCCTCCTTTGGCTGGCCTACCACCCCCGGTGTGTGGAGGGACCCCTTGGGGAGGGCAGAGCCTTCCCCAGTGCGACCCAAGCCCTGGGGCCAGGCTGGTCCCCCTCCTGCCTCTCTGGAGGGTCCTGGAGCCAGCTGCTTGGGTCTCACCTTGGGTCCTGGGGCTTCTTGCACCTCGGATATCACCCTCATGGGACCCAGGCCCTTTCTGCTGCCATCCTGCAGCCCTCCCAGAGCCACTTCCGACCACCAGGCAGGCAGCATGCATGGGTCACCAGGAGAGGGTCCCTAGAGCCGGAGCCCACACCTTGGGCACTTAAGACAAAGGGAAGACATTTCCACCTAGGGCCCCTGCACTGAAGGACAGATGAGAATGGGAATGCTGTTTTGGGGTCCCCTGAGCCACCCCCTCCTATAAGACTATAGCATCACACTGTCCCTACCCAGAAAGCCAGAAGTCTTGGTCCAGGTGCCATTAGGATACCTGTCTGTCCCCGCCCCAGCCCCAGGGCTCAGGGGAGTGTGTCCATGTCCATGTTCTGTGAGAGGGGTTCCCTCAGCCTTGAAGGTCCCCCACACCTGGCTCTTCACCACTGGGCCAGGTAGAGCTGAGTGCCAGCTGACAGGGAGCTCAGGAGGCCCCAGAGGCCCAACCCCGGTGGGTCCCAAGCCCCCAGCAGCCAGGACGGCTGAGGCCCAGGTGGCCGGGTGGGGGTGGGGATGTCGGGAAGGTGTCTCAGCTGGGACCCAGGAACCCAGGCTCTGGAATAACCCTGCCTGCCCTGAACAAGCTGCCAGCCTTCCTGGCTTTTCAGAAAGGGGCGCTGACAGCTGCCACCAGAGCTCTGTCCCCACCTCCCCCCTCAGTCTGACCTGTACCCTTGAAACCTTGTCTCAGCCCCTTGGGTCAGGATGCCAGCCTCTCCTGCGCTTTGTCCTGGCTGCAGGGAGGAGGGGGCCCGCTGAGCAGGACCCAGGGTCTCTGTCAAAGCCCTCTGTGCTTCTGCACAAAGGCTCAGAGCCTCTGGAAGGAGCCTGGTGCGGCCCGGCCGGAGCAGGCATCCTGACCGCCCAGTGGCAGCCCCTCCCCGCGCTGTCGTCCTGGGTCACAACTCCTCATCCACACTTGGGGTGCAGAATCCCATCCTGGATGAGCCTGAACTACATAGCCAGACCCCGTCTCAAAAAAACAAAACTAGATAAAGAATAAAATAAAAAAAGGAAGGGGACTGAGAGAGGGAGCGGGAGGGAACAGGAGGGGAGGGGGTGAACAAAGACCTGAGCTACGTCTGTGCATGCACCAGCTCCATTTGAGGAATCATTATGTACTGTAAGCATGCACTGATAGAAAATATTAAAAAGAAGCTTCATAACAGAAATAAAGATCTCTGGGCCTTGGCCCACCATGCGCCACTTGACCTTCGTGTTCTGTGAAGGTCACGAGGGTCTCCGGGTGTTTGTCCTGTCTGTGAACACCACAAGCTGTCCTGGCCATCCCTGTCCCTTGGCTGTAGAGGCTGGGCCTGGCCACGGGGGCTTGGGGACACCCGCACCATCCTCCTCTCCCTGCGCAGCGGGAATGCAGCTCCCCTCTGTGTAGCAGGGTGCGCAGGGGCAGAGCGCCCTTGTCTCCATCCTTTGCCCTAATCTGGTTCCCACAGACTTGGAGTTGCAGGCAGCAGAGGGGAGGAGATGAGGCTGCTGGTCCCGGGGGCCACGGGGGACACGAGGGGCCTCAGGAGCTGTGGGGTCACTGCCACGGGGCTGGGGAAGAGCGGACTGGAAGCAGCCAGGGCTGGGGCTAGTCAGGTTTGCCTGGCACAGACTCGGGGAACACTGAGGAGGCAGAGGGGACACAGTGTGGACTGTGGTGGCCGCTCAGGGCGGGTGAGGGGCAGCCTGGCCTTGGAGGAAGTGAGGTTCCCCAGCAGAGGCAGAGAAGCAGAGGCGGCCCCACCCCGAGTGGGAATTCATGCATTATTAGGCCTAAAAGCCCAGCCACTTAGCTTCATTCAATTGGCGCAGGCCCCGGTGCCCTCTGCGCCTGGCTGCTGCTGAGCACCCGTACGGAGCACTGCACGCTCAAAATACCATTCCTGGAACGGAGGCGGACGCAGGGCCCATCGCGGCGAAAATCAATGTGATTAGGGGGCAGTCGGTCACCACCAGGTCCCGGCCGTGATGCGGCAGGAAGCAACTTGGCGGAACCCAGGCACTCTGCGGGGAAACCCTGGCTGGGGTGGGCAGTCAGGCTGCGGCCCAGAGGCAGCCGGGCAGGGACTGTCCCCACCTGGCTCAGGCCACGAGCCTTGGGCCTGGGCTCTCGTTCCCGCTCAGCCGGCCCCGGTTCTCCTCTGTGAGGCCAGGTGGCGCGGATGCTTCCCCGACCCTGAGGCGTGCTCCTTACAGCCAGGCTTGGCCATCTCACCCTCCCACGAGCGCCATGCAGTGACCGAGCTGCACATGCACTTCAGCCTGCACTCGGCGGCCAGATGGGCCCTTGATGGGGTCCCAGCTTCACCTTCGGACTGGGGGAGCGTCAGGAGTCACCTCAGATTTGGTAAATAGAGGCAACAGTTGCCGCAGTGCATGGGTCATGGACATTGGAACCACGTGTCCACTCAGTATTTATTTAGCACCTACTGTGTGCACAAAGTCAAGGCCAGTGCATATCAGGAGCTCCAAGGTGCATGGCTTTCTCTGGCCACCCACAAATGGGTTCACAGGGACATCAGACAGGAAGCACCTGTCCCCACCCGGCCTGCACAGCCTGGGCACGGAAGGCGCTGGGCAGCCCTGGATCTGCCGCACAATCTTTGAGCCCTGCCCATGCGGTCCCTGTGCCCACCCACTGCCACATCACGTGCCACCGTAGGACGCCACACGCCACCTGGAACGCCGTGCTCTCTGGTGCTGCTCCCTCTACCTTCATGGTCCTCAGTCACATATGAGATGGAGGCTTCAGAATCCCGGGCCGGGTGAGGACGGAAGTCAGGGCACCCTTTGGGGAGCCGTCTGACTGTTCCATGGTCCTTGCAGGGTGAAGTATGGTCGCCGTGCAATTTAGCGGCCCCACCTGTGGGTCACTAAGCTTGTCTCAAAGCTTCATCAGAGTGTGAGTGTAGCAGATGGGGACAGAGCAAGACCACTGCAGACACCCCAGGCTGAGCTGGGGGAGGGCGCACGTCATCACAGGGTCCCAGCCACCAAGACGACAGGCGTGGCACGAGCAAACCCCGGGTAGGAAGTAGGTGAGCAGTGCCGGGGGCTGGGGGAGGGCAGGAGGACAGGGTCTCTTGGGGGACGGGGTAGTAGGGGCCACTCAGCACCGTTGCGAACATCTACAGTGTTCAAAGTGGTAAATTTGCCACCAAAACCCAACAAATAATAGCAAAGCCAAAAACACTTCACAGCTAGCAAGTGGCAGAGCCGCAAAGGGAAACTGAGTCAGGCTGGGTGCACTATTGCCCCCCCCCACACATGGTGGTGAATAGACCCACACTGTGGGATCTCCGGAGGCCGCTGCCCTCCCCAGGGCCAGATGTTGAGTGCTTGTCTGGGGCCGTGGGGGCCGGGGTCACCAGCACTGGGAGCACCCAGGAAGTGGGAGGCTGCACTGCCCGCCTCTGCATCAGCTCTGCCCTGCAGGGCCTCCTCACAGGGATGGGAGGGCCGAAGGGACGGTGACCATTGCTGGAGGCTCCGTGGCAAGCAGGGCCACCTGGCTGGTGAGGCTCTGTGGGGCTGCCTGTCCCCATCCTCGAGACCTGAGGTGTCCCTGGCCAGGAGGCGCTGCCAGGGAGTACAGAAGGTGGAGGACAGGCGGCCACAGGCCAGCAGATGCCCCGGCCCTCCATGTCAGCACCCACTCCTGGGAGACGGGCGTGCTGCTACCAGGTGCCGTGCCCCCTTCATACAGGCTGTGGACCTGGGCTCTCGGCTCTGAGTCTGGGCAAACGTGGAGGGCGGCACTGGCTGTGGCCCCTGGGCCTGTGGGTGCCGTATGAGCCCACGGGAAGGGCTCCTGGGTTCACTGCCCTGCGTCCAAGGAGGCAGACAGCACAGGGCAGAGGGCAGGGTGGGTAGGGGCTCCTCCTAGGGCCACCCGACACTCTGGAGCTGCATGGCAGAGGACAGCAGGCAAGGTGTGGCCAGAGTGGCCCCAGGCCTGTCCTTCAGGTTCCACGGCACCCAGTGTGCGGCCACCGCAAGTGCATGCCCTGGACCGCGCGGCAGCCACCTGGCCACTGAGTCTCCTGCTCGCCTGCTGCCTTGCAAGCAGCTGGGGGTACAGGGCAGCTGGAGGGCAGGATCTCCAAAGACTCGTCCTGTGTGGGAACCAAAACCCCACCGATCACCTGGGAGGTGCAGGTCCCGCAGTGCCCAGTCCGTTGACTGCGTCCCAGCACTGCTGAAGGGTGGGCACCTCCCGTCCGCCCCCCTCCCCCCACCCTTGCTCGGGGGCAGCGGGCTGAGATGCCCCGTCACAGCCACTCCTCGTGGTGCTGTCCCCAGCCTGGCCAGTGTCATGGGCTCTTCCAGCCTCGGCTCCTCCCTGACTTCCCTGCAGGGTAGGAAGCCAGGTGCAGAAGGCTGAGTGGCTGGGCTGGGGAGCAGCAGCTGGAGGGAGTGGTCTTGGTTTGAGGGGTGCAGCCTTGGTCCT